CGATATCGTATCGAAGGAATTGTCGTCTGGTCGAAATTGATTACTTCGATCTTCATCCGCTACTGCGATTAATATAAATTAATTGCAAAAAATACTTTTAAAACGTCAAAATTTAGATGGCAATCAAAACGAAAGTTCTCCTTGTTAATTTATTAAAATTGCCTAATTTTCGGAATAAAAAATTTACCAGGTCCGTTCATCACGCATTCATTAGGCATCCCAATGAATTGGAATGAGGGCAACCGAGAGGAACCGAGGGGCGACCCGAATGAAGGCAACCGTGCGGACGTAATCGCGAGTTCCGCCTCGAAAGCAGCTCCGATCGATGCGGCGCCTCCCTCCCATCCGCCGTCGCATGTGCCGTCGCATGTGCTAGAGATCCCGAAAGCCAATTTAACATACTCGTCCTCTCGAGGTTCTATGGCCACGATGGAGATTCCCCCATCGTGAGAGATATTCCCCCGCGTGCGGCGAGAAGATATCGGGACGCCCTTCATGCCTCCACATTAACTCAAATCATTCGCTTCAAGAATTTTTGCTGTTAGCGCACGAACCAGGGCGTATTTTAACAAGCAGTTTAAACAGATACGTGAAGTTCTGAATCAGTTCAAAGTCGGGTAGGAATTACGTTATGAAAGAAAATTTTAACTTAATATTTGGTGGGAAATCTAATATTTCTTCCCAAATGATCGTGCTCCATGCAGGGAAGGGGGGCAAGGTTGGGCGAGGGGGGGAGCCGTACAAGCCATACCAACAGAGAGGTTAAAATCATTTGCGCCATTCTGATTATTTCTTACGATCTGCCCTGACTCGCCCAATGAAGAGGTTCATCAGATAATTGCACCAATAATTTTAAACTTCATGCATGACATCGGGGAAGCATTTGCGAGATCGCCATCGAAGCCAATCGTTCAAAGAACTCAAGGAATTAAGGGCAATAATTTATTTCAAGTTGTCCAAACCACATGGGAGTCACCTCGAAACCACCTGAAACACTTTCACCCATTATAATCTTGTCAATTTTCACAATTATTGGAACTACATAATAATTCATCCCGCTCTCGAGAAGCAGATCGGCCTCTTTCTGGGGCCGGTCGCATCGCCAGTAGGAATTCCAAGTTCCAAGCACCAAGCATCAAGAACGGAGCGAAAAAAAACCTTACGCAAACCAGAATTCGAGACCAGAGACGACGGGCCGTGCAACACTTGAACATCGAAATATATATATCATGCTAAAGGACCCAGGGCGATTTCTCGGTTCAGCCCGGGACATAGCGAAACTCAAGGCCAGGAATTCCCAGAACAGGGAAATCAATTACCCAGCAATTCTGGGAAATCTGCTCTTCTCCCTGAAACATTAAAGCCAGAAAAACCGACCTTCCTGCCCTTAATAAGAAATGACACAATTTCCGTTCATGACTGAGCATTCGGAAGGATAATTTCCTCGAAACCTTGCGTCAAGTTATATATATGGTCTTATATGGACTTATATGGACTTATATGGACTTATAATATATTATATATATTATAAGTCGCAAGAAAACGAGCACGTTGAAAGAGTTTTGCCTTTTGGCGCGAAGAAATAGACAGAGAAAGCACAATTTCGCCTGTGCAACGGCGATGTATTCTTGAAAATGCGTGCATGTTGAAAAAATGAACATCTTTCCGATTATTGCAAAAAAAAGGATGAAAATATCGCAGTGAAATGATTCAGATGGCCCGCAAGAACTTAGTGAATCACTGACAATATTTAACAAGACACAAATCATTATTACCAACATTCCGAAGCATTTGAAAGTGAAGAGGAGAGGAACCCGTGAGGAAATTGCTCGTTCAACTGCGAACACCAAAGAGGCTCGCGATTCAGGCCAGTTCATCACTTTCATTGCTTCAACGTCGTGGAAGCAAGGGGAGAATGATCCGGACGATGCTAGGGATATGATTTATTTTCGGGAGGAAAGGAGAGGCGGCACCTCGTCTGAAAGTCCAAAATCCTGGCATTGTCCTCATGAGATATGCAAAATTCCAAGGAAAAAGGATCGATTCAAGAGCACTTCGAGGCGCGAGGAGAAACTTGCATCTATGTTCAGTAGTACTGGCAAACGAAGGGTTCCTTCCAGTGGCAACGGACGTCCCACCAATGGTCGATATAAAGAAGGAGGCAATTCTCAATTCGTCCTCCATTCGGTTCGCCCATATACCAACGATTATAGCTTGTGATCGGAGTGTTGTTCACCTGACGAAAACCTGGACGATTGGGACTGAATAAATAGGTGGGGTGGGGGCTTTGCAATGTTTCGCAAAATTTGATTCAAAGTAGCTTTTGCAACATTTCAGACAAGGAACGCAAACACGGAACGCATTAGCTTGAAATAATGAAAAATGGTTTAATAGGATGGAATTTGAAGAGAATAACAATTGCATTACAGTTTTTCCCAATTGCTAACGTCCTTTTCTCGAAACTATTTCAAGAAATACCAAAAATCTGCATACTTTCCACAAAACTAAACATACGATTTCATTGCTAATGTACGAAAAGCAAAACGCGAAGCGCGATTTTCATGTCTTTACATACCTTTTTTGAAACTTAACGTGCGGAAACGGATAAGAAGACCGATTCGACGAGTGCGGACGATGGATGCATGGCTGATGAGGGCAATCGCTATCCTCCAAAATTCCTTCCAACCAATCCCAGATGTTTCCTCATCGTCCTGAGTTGTCAAAGCTGAATGTTCCTTCTCAAACGTTGAAATGGTTTCTTACGTCGATACTGCAATGTAATTGGCAGGCAATAATGCCGACTGCTTTTCAAAAAAATAAAAAATATCCGATCCTGTGTATATTTTTTAACAACTAATTTCTGTTATAATAAAATCAGCTAAAAACGGTTGAAAAGAGAGAAAATAAAAAGTCATTTCATGGTCATTTCTGTTTGACGTAACTTATAAAAATGACATGACCTAGGGACGTATTTTCGTTCGTAGATGAGTGTTCATTGGGAAAATTCCATGCTTTGATCTCCAAATCTTCCCAACGTATGCTCGCTCTTTTGGCTCGTTGAGGGGTCTTCGACCGGATACAACGCCCTGCACCCTTTTGAATGACGGCACAAGTTAAGTGACTTCTCAAAATAATAGTCTGACTTTATTTCGGTGTGGGAGGATAGTCATGGGCTCGACCGGCAGAAATCGTGATCTGTTGTGGAGCTAAACTTTGCTATTTCCCTTTCAAGGAAGGCGAGAGTGGAAGAATGGGAGGGGAGGGAGAGGAGTTTTTGTGCTTTCAAGCCGCACCTCGTCCAAATATCTCAAGCGAAATGATCTCAATGGGCGGTTTGATGGTTTTTAGAGGAATTAATCTATGCAGATTTGATCCCGGTTGATCACTGCTGAAACGCCCGCCTTATACACATCCACTCAATTACCGAGCTAAGAGGGGTTAACTAGTAACTTGGTGTAAGTTGTCCGAGTAGAAGATGGGAAGAAAAGGATAAATCCTCATTGCATGAACCGCAAAACGATGAAAATATTTCATGCACAAAAAATATCACAAGGAAACGACGTCAGTGTATTGTTACGAGCGCATCATTGGGCAGATATAGCGACATCTATTATATTTAAAATTGTCATACGCCATAAGTGCCAAACGTCCTTCACCGAAACATATTTTCCAATAGAACACATTGCTGGTGTCCTTTAGAACGAATCTAAGGCACTTGCGTCAAAACGTAGTGATATTGCTTGACGGCTGATCAGGCGGGCATCGATTCACGTGACTCGGCGTCTTCCCATTCACAGCAATGGATCGTCCTGAGAGTTTTGACGAAGGTGACTCAAGTTTTGATTCTATGCACGTTAGAAACTGATTGTCGGACGTTCTGTTTCGACTTTTGGGTAGCGTGAAATCGAATCTTGACAACAGGACGTACGGTTTTGGCATTGGTACGTTCATTTTTTGAACTCATTATTCGAGAAGTTGCAGATACGCATATTAGGGTATTGTACATTACTCTAGCTTGCCCTATAGATGCTAGAAGCTCACATAGTTTTCTCGATCCCGTACGCCCAACAAGGACATCAATGGAAAAATTGATGCGGATCATGAACATACTTGAAATATTAAGCTCGAAAAAGGAGAAACCTGTCTGGACTCCAGAAGTCTTCGTGACCCCAAGAAAAAAGTTTTCTTCGATGTGAAACCTAAGTATTTCTACCACTTCATTATAAATTGCGTTTATTGGGGCTAAGAATTCGTTATAGTGGATTTATTTTCATTTTCATGCTAGAAGCAGTGACATACACGTGTACAGTATGTTATATCTCCATGGTTCAGGAGAGTTGGAGTTTTCCCCTCAGTTACACGTTATCGTCTTTTTATTTTCTTTTTTATAATACATAAGCGGTAAAACTATGTCAAGAAGGAATGCTAAAGGTCCCGAACTATTCATTGTATCGCATGGCATTGATTTGACAGTAAAGAATGAGAGAAACCGGCTGGAAGGATTATTTCTGCTTCTATTCCGGTCTACTAATGAGATATTTTACCCGGAATGCATATTGAGATTAGAGGAATCTTCAGAAGAAACATTTCCACGGTCTCTTCTTGACTAACTATAGATATTCCTAACCCCTTACGTTAGAATATTGAATAGCGTACTTTTGTTTTTACGCAATTTTGACTATCGGACGCATGGATGTGAGAAAAGAATGCCGAGGTTTGCGAATCTTATGTGAGGTTTTGAAAAATGTCCATCAAGATATGAAATAGGACTCTAGCAATTGGGAAAAACTGTAATATTCCTAGTATGACATTTATTTCATAAGGTATAGCAAATGAATAAAAATGCAAGGAATTGCTGCATAGAGAAACAATGGTAATATGAAATTTGTCTTGCTTTACAGCGTCACTGCCCTCCATTAAATGATACCTAACCGCTGACGGCATGACATTGCAAAATATGCAAGACAAAAATGGTACATTGACCTAATTAAATTATTTTCTTAATGATGCAGACCAAATGTGCTGGATTCAGACTCATTTGGGTCTTCGTATATCCACGTGCCCTCCACGAGTTCGTCGGTGGCGCCTTGCCAGATCCGCAGATTGGTGTCGGGGGCGACACTTCTGATTGCTTTGTAGACTGTGGGGCTCGTGTCGGAAGCGAGTCGGGCCCCATCCAGGCAGCAGACCTGACTCGCCTCGGTCCAATTCATTCCCCTCTCGTAGTACTTGTAAAACCGACCATCTTCTTGAAAGAACTTGTAACCTTGTGCCAGAGGAGCTGCGATGGAAGCAAGTATTTAAAAATTGGTGTCTAAATGAAAAATGTCTCAAAATCTGGAAATGACGCCAACCGCTTCCCGGGCAGGGCGGCGTGACGTCTTGATTCAGGATTTTCCACATGTTGAAGCCAACGCATTTGGCCTTGAGAGGTAGAGGAGGTGGACAACGGGAATGGCGCGGGCAGTCATACGAGACTTCGGAGAGCAAGGGCGCCGGGAGGATGCCATTCCATCCGTACGAGAAATTCATCGTTCGATTCTCCATCGAAGGAGGAGGTGTCTGGCAAACATTGAATTCTACAAAGGCTGAATGGGAAAGGTAAAATCGCATTCATGAAGATTAAATATTATTATGATGGATTGAAATGATGTAAGCTCACCACTGATATAGACCATCGCACCAGGGGCATCTTGTAACGTGGCGCTTAGGATGTTCACGAACTCACAGGTGAAATTTTTTGGATACCAGTTGAAGGCATTGCAAATCATTCCAAGGGAATGGCAAATGGAGCCGCAAACCCGCGCGTTCATCGCATTTACTACATCCTTCCTAGTTCCAGCCAGAGGCCACAGTTTCGCGTCTTGTTTTAGCAGATGAAAAGTAGTTGATTGGACATCTATGAGAGAAACAGTACCTTCCCCTGCAACATGTACACTAGTCTCCACCTGAAACTTCGGGTCTGTCTCCTCCAAATCCATCCTGCACATAACAACATCCAAGCGACTTTTCTTGGAGTCGATCATGTAATAACCAGGATGCGCGTTTCCAGCTTGGCGAAGAGTTGAACAGGATTGTGCTGGATTATCCGGTGGAGTAACCTTTCCATGGAGAAAACCTACCCCAGCAATTCGTGCGTTGGTCTCTACCTGAAACTTCGATTCGGTCTCCTCCAAATCCATCCTACACATAACAACTTCCAAGCGACCCTTCTTGGAGTTGACCATGTAATAGCCAGGGTGAGCGTTTCCAACTTGGCGAAGAGTTGAACAGGATTGAGCCGGGTTTTTCGGGGGCGGAATCTTGCCTTTGCAAGTCAATCCACCCAATGTGTAATTCGCTTTCTGCCCCTCAAATTGTAGTCCACCGAAGCGCAACTCGGTTATTGGTAATGCTGTTGCATTCGTTATTGCTCCTGAGTCTGATTCCCAATGAGGGGGCTTTGCATCACAGTTGCAAGGGAAGTTTGTGTCTGTGCAGTTGCCAAAGAGACCGCAGCTGCATTTGTGATGTCCTGCTTTTGACCCGTCCCAGTAGTATTGTGGTTCGCCGTGACGGTCCACCCACCATGCATAGTGTATGACTCCAGTTGTGAGGGCCGAGGAAAAACAGTCATACTGAAACGAGACACGGTCAATGCTGAGTCGGAAACATCTGCAACTATGTAAAGTTAGAAGTACTATATAGTCACTATTCTGGTTTGCGGATTTTCTGTTGTGAATCCTAGGTGTCTGCAGTAACATAGGAGGATGTACTGGGAGGCACATAATATATTTTTGAACTACTGTAGAGGGGATGAAAAATAATGTGTCAAGTCGTGCGATAGGAATCCCTGATCGATATAGCCGACAATTATTGGTTGGAAAGGAAGTCTTGCAACACTGCGGAAATTTTTCAAAAATATATAACTTTATTGAAATGCAATTTCAGTCTACAATGTTATGACCATTGTTGTCTATGACATGTTCCGAACGCACGGGTAACTGCTCGATGCCTTTTGCCCAGAATTCTGGTGATTGCGAAGCGAAGAAACGGCCGACATTATTTTCGAGCTCTGCTCGATCGTCGAAGGCCTTGTCCCGCAGGTGATTCTCGAGGGCCCGGAACAAGTGATAGTCAGAAGGGGCCAAGTCCGTAGAATACGCTGGATGGGGTAAAACTTCCCAGCTCAGTTCCGAAATCGTCTGGCGAGCCATCTTCGCAACATGTGGACGAGCGTTGTCATGCAGAAGGAGTCGCCAATTCGCGAGTGGTGGCGTTCGGCTTCACGTTGAGGGCGTTCTGCAGGGCTTCGTCAGAGAGTGTTGCAAGACTTTCTTTCCAACCCAATATTTTTGACAATTAAACTTCGCTCAAAGAAGAGCGCACTTCAATGCAGATGCTTGTTTCTGGATATGATCTTGAGCAATTTTCGGGAAATGTGCATGTACTGGCAGCAACATTAAATACTAGTAAATTTTTCCCCCCTTCAGGGAAGCAAACTTGCAACAGTCGGACCTTCATGGGGTTCCATTATCCAGGGTATCAATCAATCATTATTTCATTTTCGAAGTGGTCAAAGTTATTTTAAAGTAAGTCTGTCGAAATACCGAGTTCATGTTCATGTGGCCTACTGACGGACTATTACTGTTCATGTGACTTTTATCAAGTTCCTTAGTTTCGAAATAAATAGAGTTAGATGCCTGGATTTGGTAGTTATACTCAAGATTAAAAAAAAAAACATGTTCAGTATGTCCTCCTCTGTGCGCAATCATCGGTGGTAAGGTTGTGTTGTATGTATACACCACTTATGTCTGGGTAACCGGAACATTAGAAAAACTTCACCTTTTGTCTCTGCCTTCACGTCTCTAAACGTGCATTGGATTAACCTTGACTCGAAAACTTTGTCTTCTTGGTATCCCAAGAGAAAATTGTATCATAGATTGAGATCGTGACCTGGCAACACAGAGAAAGTTGTGTTGGACTTCCAGCTTCAGAACTCTGGCATAAGAATCCTGCATACCAGATATCCTGAGATCCACAGCTGTGGATTGGTATGACCACCATTTCCCCCAATCTCAATCCATGTGGCTGTTACCTCAGGGGATACCTGAAGGACAAAGTCTTTGAGTCGAGGTTAAATCCATACACGTTTGAAGACTTGAAGGCGGCAACAGTATGTAATGTCAACTAAATTCCCCGGAGTATTCTGCAGGCAGTCATGCAGAATTGCACCACACCCCTACGACCGGTGATTAGCCAGTGAGGAGGACACACAAAACATATTTTTTCTTTGAGCATAAATTTCCCATGTTTATGGATTCTTGATACGGAATTTCATGCATTTATAACTCTCTTTGTTCCAACAGTATAAATATTCATAATGGGCCCATGAATAAAAATCAACCCTCGTATGTGCCATGAGGGGACATACGCGCGATATTGTATCAGATATTTTATCTTTATATCTAAATCAGAATTCCTAGATATTCATGGGTGCCATTCTTCCAATCTCTTCATGTGCCCTTTTGTCAGAGCAGAAAATAAATATTGAAATACTTCCCTCTCATAATCTGCCCTGAGGCGATACATTTTATATGCACGTTTTTTTTCTGTACTCATCGATTGATTGGGTACTTCTATGCTAAGTTTGAAATTTCTATCTTTCTCTGCCTCGTCGAATTAAAATTTTTTTTTTCTTAAAATGCACATTTGCGCCTGTAAGATGTTTACGCATTTACTGCCACGCGCAATGCAGGCATCTTGTAGCTCTTGTTTTCGCAGGGCCACAAATTGGTCCTTTCAGTGGATATTCTTTTCTGAAAAGGAAAGGACCACTTAAGGTCCCGTTCTGTCCTATCCTGTGTCCGTATGTCACACATTGGTTGTATGACGATAACTAAAAAGGATATTGACCAGATTAACGCGAAAATTAGCAAACATGTAGATATATAAACAAGATACCGGAAAGGCTCGTTTTCTGGCGAATTTTGCGGAAAATTGTTACTTTTTTTGCAGAACTTTGGCCACGGAGGAGAGGGAATGAGTACCCGTTCGCCCTTCAGGTTCTTGACCACAATGCCTATGCGGTCGCGACCAAGGCTTTAGGCGCGGAGTCGTGTCAGCGACCAAAGCAGTCACTGACAAACTTTGTGGCGGATGTATATAACCAGACACAGCCCTCCCTCCTCCTTTCATCCTTTCATGGTCACCTTTTGCCTATTTTTACCAACTATGAATGAGAAATGGGGATTTGATAGTCGAAGATCGGAAGGAGATGGCATTTTCTTTAATTAGTTGACGAAATGTGGGTTTACTCGTGGCTGAAAGGAGGCCCACTACTGGACAGGGCTTGCCCAACGCGTCTTGCAATTAAAGTGTTTATGTTTACATTTTTTTAAGGATCATATAGTATGTATTCCAGAAAATTCGTTAATGGTAATCTCCGGCTTATGATGAAAGGCCATTTGACATGTAAGAGTCCCGAGACGACAGGATCGACTCACCCTGATATACTGTTCACAAGACTTCGAATGTTGGATCAATGCCACCATCTGTTTCATCGGTGAACCATACTTTATGCTGTGGTTGTAGCATCCAGGATCAGCACATCGATCGATCGCAGTGTTTCCCATGGAATCATGGAGGACAATTGTGGCCACAGGATCTATATAGCAACATAATTAAGAGATCATGAACCGGTTCATTACCATTCGGTTTTTTTTTTCCGAATGAAGGAACGATTGTTTGCTTCAACGACCTGTCTCCATATCACAGATCACTTTGATGGGTGCATCGCCGATCAAAACTCCGTCAGGATCCACGAAGTATTCTCCTGTTCGGGTCACTCCCAAGTCTGCTAGCGTCTGACAAGTTCGGGGAGCTGCGATCAAAGTATTCATATATTTCCGTCATCAGCTGGAAAAACAAAGGCACTTCAAAGCAAGGGCTTATGGAAAGAAGACGACACTTAAGAGCATTTCGTTCAGAAATTGCAGTTGGGTTAACGACAGCATACCATATCAGCGCATAGTATATTCGATCGGCTGAAGTACTACTGTCCCCGTTTTCTGAGCTGTCCACTAAGTGTATTAGTCGTATTATGGCGATGCTAGCGATCAAATGAGCGTCCTATAATAAGCAGCGCATAGTAATGTAGTTTCTGTCAGAAGGCCAAATATTAGAGTTAGGACAGAATGCTCTTTCTATTCGAGAACGGTATTACTTTAATAGCGAGACTTTGATTTATGGGCTTATACTGGCGAAGCAAGTGAAAGTGAATAGGATGTTAACACATTGAAGACGGGCCCCATGTTTACATAGGTTTTTAGATCCATGTGTCAAGGACGGGACTGGTGTAAACACGAATTTTGCTCATGACAGAGAAATAAGCATCTTTTGACATGTGTAAGGGGGGTTTCGAATGTTTTGAACATATGCTTTTGATATGAAACATTTTATTATCGAAGCTTTTAAATTTGAGAGAAATTCATGTAGCACTTCAGGAGTTATAGCCTTTTTAGTGCTCTAGCACGTTTTGCAGTTCAATTTGCTTTAAGAGCCCGGGAAAAAGGGCTATGGTAACACAATAGCGTCCGGTCCTCGATTTGTTGAAAGGCCAAGGGGACGAAGGACGCTCATGAAGGAGAACGTTGCACGACTTGGCCTGAAGCGCTAAAATGTGCCTCCCACGTTCTCGTGTCTCGATAGAACTCATTTCAGGCGAAGATTTCTCGTACCCAATGCAGGAGCGATTCTATTCGAAGTCATGTGTTGTGGAGCCTTCGTTATTCAGGGAATTTCAATACCGTAAGATGCCCATCGGTGAATGCTCGCAAGATCGTTACAAACATCTTCGAAGAAGAACTGCGCGCACGGTACTGGCGAATTTTTGGTGACAGTTGCTGTCCAATAAACCAGACATTCCTAGAAGTGATTGGGCATGCTGTGGATAATAGAACAAACAATGCTATGCCATTAAATTTAGCTCTGCAAAATATTTCATCATCATTTGATGCTTGTCGACTATATGATTAAAGGGGTTTCAAGTCTCCACTCACTTATTTGCAGGCTAATGGCCTCCAGGTATTGGAGTCTTCCTTCCGTGGTGTTCAGTTGAAGCTGAAGTTTGTCTCTTTCCAAGATATGTTCCTGGAAGCTAGACTTGAGGTTTTCGTGCTCTTTTCTCATGTTCTCGCAGTCATTTCCCAGCTTCCCAGTAGCGTGCCTCATGTTCTCAAAGTCATGCTTCAATATCTTGTAGTCGTCCCTGAGGCTGACCAGATGCTCATTTTCAGACTTCAGTTGTGAGATTTGCTTTGCAAGTTCTTCAGTTTTTGCCTTCAGAACTAGCATATTTCTTCCAAGTTGCCTCCAATATTTTCCCGTCCATGGACGGGAGCGCTTTCGAGTGACTGGGAAATCAAAGCATGAATAAATATATTTTCATCGCAAGAATGGATTCGGGTTAAAACCAATGAATACTTTATTATTTTCTCTGAACTCGAAAATCGTAATCCTCAGGAGCCAAAAACAGTTTTTTCACTACCCCAACAGCATGAGAGCCGGAAATTACTCCAAACGTGTTTGAATTAAATATGACATTTTCCAATGTCTTCATTACAATTGTCCACCTTTCGTTTATTTCGAACGTCATTCATGCCCTTCTTCACGGAAATCCACAAGCGGGAGGCGTATATCACCATACTATTAAATGCCGGAAGGAGAGTTTGATAACGGATGAGATTCGACTTACTTTTCCAGATCCGTACTCGATTAAAAGGATCAGTGAAAACAAGAGACATGCAATTCCCCTCATATTGATGCACAACTTCCTCGACTTGTTTTCAGGCCTGAAATGAAAACGGTAGGTACACTGGTTCAGAATCGTTGCTTCTTGGTGTTTTCAATTTTAGATCAAACCTGAATAAAGTTATCCGATGAAAAATTTTCATAAGTCCATGTGCAAAAAGAAAATGTGTAAGCGTCTGATGATTTTGTTACTTCCTTTGGGCGAAGAGTTGCTCAGAAAGCTTTTTGCTAAGTGTAGAAATTATTTGTGCATGCATGAGACGTATAGTATTATCATTAGGTGGAAACAACCTAGTCCTTGTTTCTATATTACGAAAAAAAAACATTTTTTGAGGAAAAGAATAGACACTTGATTTTGAAAATTAATCCTATAAATTATAACAAATATTTCCTAAGCAAATAAAATAAATTCTTGCGAACCAGGTGTGCGATTCTCCCTTGGTTATTTATTGGTAACGAACCACCATCCTTCACAGAAAGGAAGCCTCAACATCGACCCTTGAGACACACAAACACCAAATTCCTGTCGCAGAGACGATATTATCAGCTACTCACAGGAAACTCTTGGCTGATTCTCGCCGCTCGCGAGATGGAAGCATGTTGGAGACTGGAAGGCAGTCTGTAGTCGGAGTGATCTCAAGGACAAGCTTCGATATTTATATCTCAGAAAGGAACAGGCACCCAGGCCTGCGTTCCTTTAAACATGACATGACAGACTTGTTCAAGGTTCAAGGTAGTTAGTGACATCAAGAGGCGATTTCGCCCATTTCGATATCACGTGTAAAGAAAGCGAAAAGAGAGTTCACCACTCTGCAAGTAAAGAATTCCTGTCTCGACCTTGTTAAACATGACATACTTGTTGAAAGCCCGTGTACACGCGCCAAGGCCCAGTCAATGGGGAGTCTTGTTTACGGTTCATCTTATACTGAATTTGTCTTAATTGCTCTGTGTACGCAGGACGTTCAGCCTCGGTACTCGGTACCTGAGAGGAATCGACATGAGTATGACTGAAACTCTCTTTTCGCTTTCTTCTGATGATCATCGACGCGAGCTCATTTTCTCGCTGTTTCGATGTCGACGTTTTTGTGGCATAATGAGAGAACAAGCGGAGCCCCTCGCAAATTGCACGAAATTACATTGCAGCAATTTCCAGATTTTACCGGAACTACTTCATATCCTGAAGGTATGTGGTTAGCGCCCTGGACAGTTAATGTAAAGAGTCGTGGTATCTGTTCAGATTCACATTCACATACGATTCACACAAGAAATTGCTGGAGGGGCTTACGTGGGTTATGCCTAAGCCTAATCCTCGGACCTAGGCCTAGGTTTACTTTTTTATCGAGTCAGGCTCGACCTAAGTCCTGAACTGTGCCGACTAAAAAAACATTCTTGACTCTCGCTCTGCAAGAGTACGGTCAGATTCCCTTCCGTATGGAGACCCTAGAACCATCCACGACGGTCGAGTGGAACCCCCCGAGAGAGAGATCCCGAGCGACGCCTGTCGCAGGACACCAGGACTCCACAGCGCCTTCGGATCCAGCAGAAGAATTGATCTGACGAGGACGAGGACGAGGGAGAGGGAAATAAAAACACCTGTTTTCTTATCATCGTGTCCCCTTTTGATCTTATTTCCACCCGGACCCCACAACAGACTACACTGTAAAAAAAAATGGTGCTTAAAGGTGCGTATGTACACCTTCAAAGGTGTGCCTGTGTTGTCCCAGGACAGAAGCCTCTAGGGTTCACATGGGAACCCTTCACGAAGGGTGAGCATGGGCACCCCAACTCATGGGTTCACATGCAACAGCATTTGGCTCCCATGTGAACCCTAATCGCAACCATTCTCACCCCCTAATTTTACCGGAGGCATTGCTCCCGCACCCTAGTGGGCACACATGTTAGTCTGCTTGGTTGACATGGCAACCTTGTTTTGCATCCTATACGGTCTTCCGGTAGTCTTGTCATTGGATCCATTGGTGAATTCCAGTGTCTCGTTACAGGATTCTCATTGGCCTCTGGTCATCCACGTGACCCATACCTCTTATGTTGCCATATACCTAGTCCGACATTATGCATTGGAAACCCTTCACACCAATTTTATTTCACAGGGAATAAAGCGCAATATTAAATGCATAATATATGTATTATACATCAAAGAAAAACATTTTTGACATCTATGCATCACATATTGAAATAGGAATGGAGGTTGTTCAGCTGCTGGCAAGGGAAGTGAGAGCAGTTTTCACGCACTTAAGGATGGGTCTCGTAAGTCCAGTTTGCACGACATTAAATTCAAACATTTTTTTTGTTGGAATATTTTAAATTGAATGCATAGTGTGAGGCCCAGAAACAACTGATACCCTCAATGACGTTCGGTGTGGAGAGTACTTCGGTCCCATCAATCTTGATTGAGATTTTCTCCTTTGGTACAAGTCTTGGCATCCAGAGGACTGGGCTCCCACACACCGGTTCCTGCAGAAAAGAAAAAATATCACGTACTTGAAAATGGGAAACTTTCTCATTTCTTCATGTCCTTTGGTAAAAACGATGTGAGGTTAATAGATCAATAGTATTTCTGCCCAGTGCCTTAAAGAAGGTCACAAAGTCAGGATTTTCGAAGAGAAGAATGCGTACCTTCTCTACNTGATAGTAATAATTGTGAAGTTCATAGTTGGAGCCATGGGAGGTTAATGCACACAACAATGTGAATCGCTTTAATTGAAGCGCTTGAAACAATTGAAATTCTCAGGACGGTTGTAGGCTTGTCATGTCAACCCCACGGGTGCATATGCTCTTTGTGATGATGGCGGGTAGCATAGGGAACCTAAGGGTGCGAATCGGTACCGTGAGCATCAACATGTGTACCATGAGGGTGTGCATCTCGACCCTCTGCAGGCACACCCTCCACGCATCCTTCTCGCAGCTTTTTTTTCACAGTGTACGACACGAAATTGCCGTACCGTAACAGTACAAAGCACTGCTAAGAGAAAGCACCAGTGTAGCTCGACCTTGACAATGTTTATTTACACAGGAGCCTAATTCCACGGTGAGGTGCCAGACACTGCAGTGGTTAGCATCCATGCACATAGCCATTTCACATTAGAAAAAGTGAGGAGGGACATGCCTGCAGCGTTCTTTCCTCGGCAAAAGCCGCATAAGCTTCCAAAGAGGTCAGTGGTTAGGACAGCGAGTTTGGGTCGAAGACAAGGTATTTTGGAGGAGGTCGGAGCGAAGCCCCCTATGAATTATCTCCATTTCTTATCCTGTACAGGGTGATGTGTGAGGATTAATGGGTATTAACGATTTCCTCCGACTTGTTTTCGATATACTGATCGATCCAGGAAGAAACGAGGGTGAGTGAGGGGGTGAGGAGATCAATTATATGTTGAGGTGCCCGTCACGGTGTCGCGGAATAACATCGAAAAGAATAGCATCGACACGGAACTGCTTCAACACCGGCGAAAGACGGAATGACTTCGACAGGAACAACGTCGACACAGAAGTATCTCGACATGAGAAATCCTGTCGAGATGATTCCGTGTCGGCGCTGTTACTTTCGATGTTGTTCCGTGTCGGTGTAAATCCGAAAGTGATCTGTCGAAGCAGACCTGTTTCGGTCTATTTCTGTGGAGGTATTTCCGTGTCGATGCCACACTACACCAAACACTTTTAAGAAATGTGCAGAGTTGGATTTGCTTTTCCTGAAACTTCGATGCGAAATTAAATCACGTGGCATGATTTGATTGCGACATCACTTGATGTCGCAAAATGAATGCGTCTTTAATCTGACGGGAACGCAACAGGGTGGCACTTTTTCGCCTTTGCCAATTCCTTGAGTGTCATTTCCAGGTGACTTTTTTTTCCTAAACGCGTATAAATGAACGCCTTGATAATTGTCCCCCTTCGCCCCAATACCGCAATTCCGGTTTTATTTTTTAAATAGTTACATTCATAAAATTATCTCAAGTAGGAAGTGTTGCGATATTATGGAACCTTTATGTCCCAGATTAAGAAATTATCGGAGATGGAATTTTTATGTACTTTGCAGGTACAGTATGAGTGTTTTTTCTGCGGGCATCATATCAGTGGGCGCCTCGTCTGAGCACCTTATTTCTCCAGTCAAGCAAGACCATGGAAGCGTTATAAAATCAGATATCCTCGGAAATGACGTGATTGTGTAGATGGTTCATAAGGATTATCATAATCCTTACTTTCTACGCCGAATACTATACCTCCCTCTGCAGCACCACAATTTAACGTTGCTTAGGATTAATACTTTTCTCCGAGATAATCGCAGGCAACCGGGCATTCTAGTGGGGGGGGGGGGGGGGGGGGGGGGGGGGGGGGAGGCGGCAGCCACCCCCCCTAACGCCCATGGGACAGAGCCTTGCGCCCCCTTGGAGGAAATAATTTTCTCACCTCATATCACTCGGGTGGAGTTTAGCGCCCCCTCTCTGTTGCCTTGCCCCCCCTGACCCTTCAGCCAAAATATGCCACTGCCCATGGAGGAATGTATGAAAAAAGTCTATAGAAAAAAACTGATAATGGCATAGTACGTAAAGATGCTCATTTGAGCAATATTTCCAGGTATCTCCTGCGGCATCTTTTTTGTTATTTGGCAAAACAAATGTATAAGATCTCCCAAAAGAATTACATAACCATGAAAAACATGAGGTAAATGCTCACTAACGCAATAAAGAAATGAGATATATTTTCTATATGGTTTCAACGCCGGATCGAAGAAAGCGGGATTTTTCCCAGGAATGTATGGGGGAAATCTTGGGAAACTGGTGAGTTGAGATTAGATCAGGTATGTGGGATTATGTCGCCGTTCGCCTATGCTTTAGACTCGTTCCGATAGCAATGGGTTAATTCAAGTGTGATATGGGAAGTTTGACATGAGAATGCCCGGTTGCCTGCGATTATCTCGGAGAAAAGTATTAATCCTAAGCAACGTTAAATTGTGGTGCTGCAGAGGATCATGTGAGAAAATCTTTAAACAATATTTGAAATGAGTTCCCGACAACTCTTGATTGGTATCTTCTTTATCCTCTCCGTGCTCCCTGTGGAGTACGAAGGGATTGTTATTGTCCAATGGATCAAAAGACGGTACTTAATACTCTGTACTTACTGCTACTTCGATCTTATACTCTGTACATAGGTACTCTGCACTTATGTTCAGAGGATAAGACGATCCAGTAATTCCAGCTTCCAGAAAGGGTTTGATTATGGCGCCGAGCAGATACATTACTTCTGTGACACTACTCACTAACACTATTCCAGCGAATTTTGTCCGCACCGACCCCACCTCTCAGCTTTCCAACGATCCCATTCTCCCATCATAACCTCTACGCTGCACACATACCCACTTCTCGAGGGCATGTGCGTTCTGAAATGGGAATGCACGTGAAACCATTCTCATCCTCTCCCAGGCCCGAATCTCCTGACTTCCCATTAGAAAATAATGCCAGCAATCACTCTTTAGAATGAGTATCCGAATCTCGAAATCCATTCTGTCACGTTTAGGAAACGCAACAGTCCACCCCACTGCCACCAGGGTCTGCAACAATCTTATGTGACATCTGCACGACTCGCAATAGAGATTCTGCTCTCATCCCTTGCGGCCACACGATGTGTGCTGTGTGAAAATCATAATTGCGCAAGACGGTATAAGTCCACAGTGTAGACAAGTAATTAGTCCATCAGCAAAAAGAGCAAACGGATAAGGGCGAAACTTGGTAGTTCTCCTATTACTGATTCCATCAAAAAACGTTAATTTTTAGGGCTTGAGGGCATATTTTTTGCCGAAGGCGCATATTCCAGAAACTTTACTGATCCAATGAAGGAGGTAGCTAAAAATAAGTTGAAACGTGGAGCAAAAGAACCTGCTCGATAGCAGAGTACATGTCCTGCATTTCAAATATGACCCCTCAGGGCAGATGATCAAGAGATTTCAAGTTAGGCACACAAGAAACCTTGGGAGTAATTACTGCGAAGAAAATATTGGTTTGTTCTCTCTCTATACACATTTCGACGGGCACATAGTTTTAGTACGTTTTTCCCACTTTAAAAATAAATTATTGGATGAATCACTACCCTGGGAACGGAACGCCGAAGGCGCGACAATAGCGGATTCGTTTGCCCGAAGGGCAAACTAACTCGCTAGTCAAAGATAACTCCCTCGAAATTGCCCTCGATCCACCAAATATTCACACGTTCGTCATCTCATCGAGCCACCAATGGCGCGGCGAAATCCGAAATCCGATTAATGGTCATGGATCTTACTAAATCAGAAAGTGTCTTCCGCCTTTTTTCAGTCAGATGCCTAATTTCGTGCAATTTTTAGTTTCAGACATTTTTCAATCCCTGATATCTATCCATCGTCGTTGAAAACGGTCAATTATTACGTTAATTTTTTATTCATTTATTTTATAACTGCCGGAACACAGAAAGTGATATGTTCCATTCTTTGTTTCATTTCTTCATTCCCAGAGAAAATGGAAAATCAAGAAATTGTCGCACATACAAACTAACACATTCTCACATTGATTCTTCTTCTTGGTTTCAATCATGAGTTTCACATTTGTAAATGGCGCTCATGAACGCTATGTCCCAGAACTTACCTCTCCGTAAGTGGTAGTATCGTGGTGATTTAGAAGCCATTCATGAATATTTGATTGCACGAATTGACTTGTAGTGACTGAGTTTAGAGAGTTTACTTATATAACAACATTTTGTAGAATCATGGGTGAAAGTAAAACAGCAAGTGCCAATTATAACAAGTTCATCAAATTTTGGCTATGATCAATTGAGAAAAGGTAAATTTTGGTAGAAAGTGAACTTGAAAATTAAAAAATCACTCATCAAATCTAAAGAATCAAGAACAAAGTTAATAACGGAAAATATTTAACAATATTCAACTAATTATCACGTCAATCCGAAGAATTTTAAACTCGAGAGGAGATGGACCATGAGGGGTTGAGACGAAATTGGTGTTGCACGTGCAACTGGGAACCCAAGAGTGTCTGGCGATTTGGGCAAGTTCATCACTTGCATTGCTTCAATATTGAAGAAACTTGGGGAAAATGATCTGACGATGCTAAAAATATGATTTATTTTCTGTTGGAAAGAAAAGGCTGCACCTTGGGAGAAAGTCCAAAATCCTGCCATTTTCCTCTTGAGATACGAAAGATTCCAAGGAAAAAGTATGGATGAAAAAAGTTCGAGGCGCGAGTAGAAACGTGCATCAGAGTTCAGTAGTACTGGCAGACGAAGGGGAGCCTGGTAGAGCAAGGGATGTCGAACCAGTGTTCCACCAGAAGACTAAGGCAATTCTTGTTTCGTCCTCCGTTCGGTGCTTTCTGCTGGCCCACCGGGAGGCTGGAGTTCTTTCCCCAATAATTCCAGGATGTCATCGGGGTATTGTTCACCTGAAGGAAACCTGGTCGATTGGGAAAGAATTGTGGGGAGGCATTGCGATGCTTCGTCCAAATTGATGAAAATTAGCTATAGTAATACGACAATTTGAACATGGAAAGCAAACACTGAATTCTTTAGACTGAAATAATGAAAAATAGTTTGAAAGAAAGGGTGTTGAAAGTATTAAGCAATTTCCATTAATAAAGCCTGCATGCAACTTTCTCCTAACAGCAGAGGGATAGCAACGAGAATGGGAGAAAGTGCTGCTTACACAAGCACTCATTAAATTTGTCTCGCTTGACGGCGTCCCTGGAATCCATTAAATGATATCTAACAGCAGGCGACATGAAATTGTGGAAGATGTCAGACAAATATGGCACATTGACTGATTTGAAGCTATTTCACCATGATGGCAACCGAATGCGACGGATTTCCACTCACTTGGGTCCTCGTACACCCACGTGCCTTCCACGAGTTCGTCGGTGGCGCCTTGAAGGATTGCCTCGGTTCTGTTTTGGGCGACCATTCTGATTGCAGAGTAGAGTGTTTGGTTCGTGTCGGAAGCGAGTCGGGCTCCATCCAGGCAACAGACCTGGCTCGCCTCTGTCCTGTTCATTGGCCCCGGGTATCGCTTGTAAAAGCGACCGTCTCCAAGAAACAACTGGTAACCTTGTGCCAGAAGAACTGCGATGGAAGCAAGTATTTAAACATGGGTGCCTGCATGAAAAATTTCTCAAAATCAGGTTATGACGCCTACCGCTTCCCGGGCAGGGCGGCGTGACGTTCAGATTCAGGATTTCCCACTCGTTGAAGCCGAGGCATTTGGCCTTGAGGGGAAGAGAAGGTGGACAACGGGAATGGCGCGGGCAGTCATACGAGACTTCGGAGAGGAAGGGCGCTGGTAGGTTGCCATACCATCCGTACGAGAAATTCATCGTTCGATTTTCCATCAAAGGAGGAGGTGTCAGGCAACCACTGGATGCTATAAAGTCCGATGGGGAAGGGTAGAATCAAATTTAATTTGAAATATTAATTTGATAGGTTGAAATGTTATGAACTCACCACTGACATAGACCTTTGCACCAGGGGCATATTGTAACGTGGCGTTCGGAGTTTTCACAAACTCACAGGTGAGATTTATAGGATACCAGTTGAAGGCATTGCAAATCGGTCGAAGAGAATGGCAGTTGGAGCCGCAATGCACCGCGTCCCTCGCCTTAACAACATCCTTCCCAGATCCAGCCAGTGGCCACAGTTTCGCGTCTTGCTTCACCAAATGAAATGTAGGGGATTGGACATCTATGAGAGAAACACCACCTTCCCCTGCAATATGTACACTAGTCTCCACCTGAAACTTCGGGTCGGTCTCCTCCAAATCCATCCTACACATAGTCAACTCCAAGAAGGGTCGCTTGGAAGCTGTTAAGTAATAGCCAGGGTGAGCGTTTCCAGCTTGGCGAAGAGTTGAACATGATTGTGCTGGGTTGTCCGGGGTAGGAATCTTGCCCTTGCAAGTCAATCCACCCAATGTGTAATTCGCTTTCTGACCCTGAAATTGTAGTCCACCGAAGCGTAACTCAGTTATGGGTAATGCTGTTGCATTCGTTATTGCTCCTGAGTCTGATTCCCAATGGGGGGGTTTTGCATCACAGTTGCAAGGGAAGTTTGTGTCTGTGCATTTGCCAGAGAGACCACAGTTACATTTGTGCTGTCCTTCTTTTGACCCGTCCCAGTAGTATTGCGGTTCGCCATGACGATCCACCCACCATGCATAGTGTATGGCTCCAGCAGTGAGGGCCGCGGAAAAACAGTCATACTGAAACGAGACACAGTCAATGCTAAACCTGAAACATCTACAACTATGCAAAGTTAGAAGTACTCTATAGACAATATTCTGGCATGTGGATTTTCTGTTGTGAATCCAAGGTGTCTGCAGTGAGACAAGGATGTACCGGGAGACTCACAATATATATTCGAACGTCTGTAGAGGGTATGAGAAATGATGTAGCTTGTCGTATCACAGGAATTCCAGACCGATATAGCCTATAATTATTCTTGAAAATTGAACTTCGCTCAAAGAAGAGCGTACTTAAACGCAGATGCTTGTCTCGGGATATGATCTTCAGCAATAATCGTGAGATGTGCATGAACTTCCAACATCATTCCAACTAGTGAGTTTCTCCAACCTTGAGGGAAGGAAACTCGCAATGTTTTAGTGGTTCCATTATCTAGAGTAGCGATCAATTTGTCATTTCATTTTCTTAGTGGTCAGAGTTATTTTAAAGTACGTCCTTTTGAAAGTACAGGGTGAATTTTTATTTATGTGACCATCATCAATTTCCACAATTTTGAAACACCTAGAGATAGATAGCTGAAAGTTTGAGAAAATACTCAATAAAAAGAAACCATGTTTCCTCCTCTGTGCATCAATCATCGGTCGCAAGGATATCATGTATTTCTGCACAACTTACTTTCAGGGTACCCAGAAAAATGGAATAACTTCACCTTCTGTATCTGCCTTCACGCCTCTATACGTGCATGGACTTAACCTTAACTCGAAAACTTTCTGCTTTGGGTACCCCAAGAGAAAATAGTTACATGGATTGAGATCGTGACCTTGCAACAAAGAGAATGTTATATTGGACTTTGAGATGAGAAGACTCTCACGTCATAAGACTCGCATGCGGCCACAGAACTTTAATTCTTCTCCATATCCCGGGAAACTCTGCAGCAGCTGTGCAGAATTACGGCACACCCCTACGACCTATGATTGCAAAGAGATTAGGAGGACACATAGAACATGTTTTTCCATAGAGTATAACTTTACGGATTACGGATTACGTATTACGGATTCTTGATGCAGAATTTCATGCATCAATAGCTCTATTTTTTGCAAGATTATGAATATTCATAATGGTCCCATGAATAAAAAATCACCTTGTATGCCATGAGGGGACATAACCGAGATATTTTATTTTATATTTTTTTCTTATCTAATTCAGTCTTCCCGTAATTTCTTGTATGCTCTGCCTCCAATCTCTTCATGTGCCTATTTTGTCAAAGCAGAAAATGAATATTTAGATATTTCCCTCTCATAATCTTCCCTTAGGAAATGCATTTTAAAAGTAGTATTTTTTTCTCCACTCAGCAATCGAACGGGTACTTCTGAGCCAAGTTTTACATTTCTATCTCTTACTGTTTCGTTGGATTAAACTTTTTTTTCTTAAAATGCGCCTCATTATTGCACGCCAAATGATAACATGCTGGCTGCCATGCGGAATGCCAGCTGTTTATTCCTCTCGCTTTGCTGGGCATGGAAATAGGTCCTTTTATTGGACCTCCCTTCCTGAAAGGAAAGGAAGAATTTATGGTCCCGTCCTGTCCGCCATTGCGTCCGTGTGTCACACTTTGGTTGTCCAACGGAAATTAAATAAGATATTGGCTTGAGCAATGCGAAAATTGGCAAGCGGGAAGATATGAACAAGAAACAAGCCGAGTTCGTTTTGTTGCGATTTCGAACCAAAATTGGAATTTTTATTGCGAATTTCGGATTTGAAGTTTGACCGCGGAGAGAAAGGAATGAGTACCTGTTCGGTATTCAGGTTCTGGACCGCAATGCGCATGCGTGTGCGACCAAGGTTTTAGGCGCCGCGGCGTGTCAGCAACCAGAGCTGTCAGTACCCTAGCTATCTTCGTTGCGGATGGATCTAACCATACACAGCCCTCTCTCCTCCTATCATCCTTACTGGTCATCGTTTGTCTATGCGTACCGAGGATAAATGAGAAATTAGGTTTTGTTTGTGAAAGACTGGGAAGAGAAGGCATTTTGTTCAATAAGGCGATGAAATGAGGGTTTCCTTAACTGAAAGGAGACCTACCAATGGACTGGCCTTGCAAAACGTGTTTTCCAAGTAACTTGTACAGGTTTAAAATTTTTGAAAGGATAATAAAGTATGACCTCTTGAAAACTTGATAATGGTAATCATTAAATGACAATTCAAAGTCCCGAGAAGACAGGATCGACTCACTCGGATATGCTGTTCGCACGACTGCGATTGCTGGATCAATGCCACCATCTGTTTCATCGACGAATCATATCTTAGGCTGTGATTGTAGCATCCAGGATCAGCACATCGATCGATCGCAGTGTTTCCCATCGAATCATGGAGGACAATCGTGGACACTGGATCTAAATAGTTGAAAGGGCTTGAGCTGGAGGAGACAAAACGATTGAAGTATTTTTCCGAATGACGGAATGATTGTTTGTTTCAACAACCTGTCTCCATATCACAGAGCACTTTGATGGGTGCATCGCCGATCAAAACTCCGTCAGGATCTACGAAGTATTCTCCTGTCTGTGTCACTCCCAAGTCTGCCAGCGTCTGACACGTTCGGGGAGCTGCGATGAAAGTATTAATACAATGCCATCCTCAGCTGGAAAAACAGGCGTACTTCTAAGGAAGGGGTTAGCAAAGGAAGACGACACATTAGAGCATTTCGAACAGAAATTGCAGTTCGGGTGACAACAGTATGTATTATCACTGCCATGAATGTACATTGTGGCGCAAAAAAACCTGGTCCACTTTTTAAACTGGTCTAGAACAGGAATTCTTGAAGCTAGCAGGTTAAAAAAAAAAGCAAATGAAAGTTCAATCCAGCCCTTTTCCAAAGATGTATGGTTTTGAGTCCTTGGGTGCCATGGAATGGCTGTCATGGCCAATTGAAAAAATTATACCCTAAAAAAGTAGTAAAATGATGGGAAAGTGATTGTTCCACCTCAACTAACCTTTATTTATTCAAGAAATGTTGAATGTGTCCTCCTTTCTGGTCCACCACTGCTAGCAGTGTGGGAGCAAACGGTTCACTGAAAGCCTTTATCATCACTCTCTTAACCTGTCCTACTTTTATTCCAAATGTTTCGCACAACAAATGAGCAAAGAAACATTTGGAAACCGGGTAAGTGTAAGCTGTAAGTAAGTGTAAGCGTAAGCGTATGTAAGTGTAAGCTTCAATAGTTCCTGTTCTAGACCAGTTTAAAAAGTGTACCGGTTTTTTTGCGCCACCCTATATATTCAAGGAAGTCTAATAACATATCGGGTGAAGTACTACTGTCACCTCTGTCTGAACTGTCCACTATGCGCTGGCGCATTATTCGTTCTAAGGCGATGCTAGCGATCAAATCAGCGTCCTATAAAGTACAGCACATAGTAACGAAGTTACTCCCAGAAGAAGGCAAAATATATGAGTTACCGCGGAGTGCATTCTCTATTCGAGAACGGTGTTCCATGATAGCGAGACATTGACTCGCGTGCATATACCCGCAACGCACTTGAGAGCGCATAGGCCGTTGGAAGGCCAAGGGTTCGAAGGGCGCTTATGATAGAGAAAGTTGCGCGGCTTGGCTTAAAGCGCGACAGTGCGCCGCGCAGGATCTTGTGTCCAAACAGAACGGGCTTTATGCTAAGTTTCGTTGTCCCCAAGACTGGAGCCATTCTATTAGAAGGAATCCATTTGTTGCGGATAATATGATCGAAGGGCTTCACCAAATCACCACTCACTTATTTGCAGACTAATAGCTTCCAGATATTGGAGTCTTCCTTCTGTGGTGTTGAGTAGAAGCTGAAGTTTGTCTCTTTCCCGGAGATGTTCCAGGAAGCTAGACTTGAGGTCTTCGTGCTCCTTTCTCATGTTCTCAAAGTCATTCTTCAATTTCTTGTAGTCGTCCCTGAGGCTTTCCCTCTCATTCCACAGAACTAACACCATTTCTTCCAAGTTGCCTCCAATATCCCGTCCATGGATGGGAGTGCTTTCGAGTGCCTGGGAAATCGCAGAATGACTGAATCTATTTTCATCACGTGAATGGCTTCATGTTAAAACATATTAATAAATTATAATTTATTCCGAGAGGGATAATCGCAATCCTCAGCAGCCCAAAAACAGTTTTATTTTTTGCCCCGGAAATATGAGAGCTGGAAAAAACTTCAAAGGTGTTTTAATTAAACATGACATTTTCTGAAGCCTTTGAAATGCGCGTAGGGGAGTTTAACAACGGATGAGGTTCGACTTACGTTTCCAGACCCGTGCTCGGTTAATAGGATCAGTGCAAACAAGAGACATGGAATTCCCCTAATATTGATGCACAGCTTCCTCGACTTGTTTTCAGGCCTGAAATGAAAACGGTAGGTACAGAGGTTCTGAATCGTCGCTTCATGGTGTTTCAAATTTAAATACAACCTGAATGAAGTCAACTGATAAAAATTCGCGTATGTCCATGTGCAAAAAGGAAATGTGTAAACGTCTGATGATGTTGTTTCTTCCTTTGGCCGAAGAGTTGCTAAGAAAGCGTTTTGCTAACTGTAGGAAGTCTTTATGCATGCGTGAGGCATACGATATTATCATTAGGCGGAAACAACCAAATTCTTATGTTTCTATATTTAAATTAAAAAAATATTTTGAGGGAAAGAATAGACATTTGATTTGGGAAAAATTCCCATATATTATAACAAATATTTACTTAACAAATATAATAAATTCTCGCATCCCAGGTCTGCGATTCTCTATTGTTAATTGTTAATGAACCACCATCCTTCACAGAATGGAAGCCCCAACATAGACCCTTGAGACACACAAACCCAGAATTCCTGTCGCAGAGACAGCTACTCACATGAAACTCTCGGCTGATTCTCGACGCTCACGTGATGGCCGCATGTAGGAGACTGGAAGGCAGTCTGTAGTCGGAGTGATCTCAAGGTCAAGCTTCGATGTTTATATTTCAGAACGCAAGAGGCACCCAGGTCTGCGTTCCATTCGGTAAACACGACATAGGCCTACTTGTTGAAAGCCAGTGTACACGCGCCAAGGCCCAGCCCATGCGCAGTCTTGTTTACTGCTCATCCTTTACTGAATTTGTCTCATTTGCTCCGTGTACGCGGGACGTTCGACCTCGGTACTCGGTACCTGAGAACGGTGACGGCTCGTGATATTTAGCGCTAATGGCTCGTCTATGTAGGCAGGGGAGCGCGCTGCCTACCCCCTTTCCATAGACGAACCACTAGCGCTAAGTATCACCAGCCGCCACTGTCTGAGAGGAATCGAAATGAGCTAGCTTTTCTAGCTGTTTGGATGTCGACGTTTGCGTGGCATGATGAGAGAACAAACGGAGCCCCGTGCAAATTACACGTAATTACAATGTAGCAATTTCCAGATTTTACCGGAGATAGTTCATATTCTGAAGGTATATGGTCGAAAGGAAAATTTTTTTAATTCCACAATAGAATAGGAGCTACAGCAATTTTGTATATTAATTCTCATTGAAGAACATAAAACATTTTTATGAATCTCAGAAAATTACTTTTAAAAATGTTTACAGTATTTTCAGTTCAAAACCTATCGTGAACACGGCATTCCGTGCATAGGTCCCATCGTTGCCTGTGTATCGGCTTCTTCGGTGTCTAGGCTCTATCTTCACATTGACGTTTTGCATGTGCCACACTCTCGAAAAGGCTAAATATAACTGTCCATGGAAAAATACATGCTCATTTAGGTACAAACCAATTCGACGGAATGTTTTGCCCTTGACACTTGATAGCCATGGCTAATGCAAGACGGAATGGAAACTGTCACCCTTTGATCCTGAGAGGCATCGTCGGGCCGTGCTTACCATTTAGGTTTCTAATGACCATGGCGATTATACCACGCTTTAAAGTGAGGGGAGAATATCGATTCATGGGGAGGAAGCCCAGCTGGAGTGAGGATGTCGATGAACTCCTTTGGACAATAGTTCTGCTCTTCCTTATCCATGACCACACTCGCGGCCCTATAATAGGTCTTCTCACCTGCTCCATTTTGCATATTTATTTTTAGTTTTTTGTTGAACAGTGAGTGAATGATTCAGTCACAGAAAAAACGTGTAAACACCTAAATATACGCGCACGTGTTTCTAAATACGTTATTTTTTATCGTGCTGCCAACAACATTATGACTTTCCACTATTGAGTAAACAATGCATCTCTGTAGTCCCATGTTTCATTCCAGGGAGTAAAGAAAGAATTCCAAATCTTTGAGGCTAAAACAGCAGTCATTTTCGTTATTGGAGGAACCTGGGGTTAGCGCACAGGACAGTTAATGTAAAGAGTCGTGATCTCTGTTTAGATTCACATTCACATTCGATTCACAAAAAAAATTGCTTAATGGACTTACATGGGTTATGCCTAAGCCTGATCCTCGGACCTAGGTCTAGGTATACTTTTTTCCAAATGTTCCCACTTTTTTGGCGCAGGCGCATCATGTAACAATGCCGTTCTAGAGTCTCGTCCGGTGTTTCATTCCAGGGATGAATAGAGAATTTCGAATGTTTCATGGATGAAGCAGTCGTCGTTTTCGCTATTGGAGGAACCGGAGGTTAGAGCCCTGCGCGGCTTTGGCCCGGCCAGAACGCGCGACCCGACCCGACCTGACCCACGGACCGTCTAGGGCCGAACTTTTCATGATCCTTCTTCGAGTCGGGTAGAGTCGAGTATAATTTTTTGCTGGAATTGGAGTTTCGGGTCGGCGCGGGCCATGACTTGAATCGGGCCTATCGGGTTGGGTACCAGGAAATGGGTCCGTGTAGGACTCGATCAGGGGAGCATAATGGTGAGAAAATTGATAGCTCTTAACTCATTCCGGGTCGAATATATTTAAAATCTGATTGCTTGATGCATCCCTCTTGACCATAGGCTTACGAACGATGAATAACATGTCAGGATATCTGTTTGCATCACGTCGCAATGGGGCTTAGGAGGTCGAGTGCTTTCGAATAATATATAACAGTGGAATTTGGGTCCAAATTTAACATGGAAAGTCATCCGAGTCATGTGAAGCAAATTAACAAGCTCAGTAAGAAGGTCGTATTTAGGGACCTGATACAAGACGCAGGATGTAGAAATATAGAAGCATCCCTTCTCCGGGAACGGATATCCTGACCACCAAACCCCATCCGGACCGATAATGTACAAGGGTGAGACGCCCTGATTAATAATCTGGGACAGAAAACCTCATCGGCTCCATCCGGGAAGACCCTGGGAGAAAAGGAGGAGTCGAAGGAGGTCGAAACAGAGGAAATAGAGGGATAGGGAGAACAAGAGAGAGGAGCAGTTTGTGGGGTGGGGCGGGGATCAAGTTGAAATTTACCTTTTAGATGGTTTTCCTGTGTCCCTAGTGTCGTGTCTTTTGTCCCTCTATTATTTTATTTCATCATCCTTTTTCCTTTTAAACTTTTGAATATTAATATAAATGTGTAATTATTGGGTTGGAAAGAAAGTCTTGCAACACTTTCTAAAACTATTTTTAAAAATTTTCAAGGGAATGATGAGCGGGGCTTTGCATTTGTATATGCTGGAATGTTCTCGAAGCTTCTGCCCTCGGGGTACATGAGGCGGCGTCTGCCATTAGTTGGCAGCCATGGCTCCGATCGAACGAGCAACTCTTCGCCCCATCGTCTACTACGAGTTCCTCCAAGGACACTCTGCGAGAGCCGCCGCGGACAACATCTGCGCTGCATTCAAGGGCAACGTCGTCCACTATTCCACGGTGTCTCGATGGTTCAAACGCTTGGAATCTGGCGACACGACCTTCGGAGATCGACCACGCNGGTCCGAGGATCAGGCTTAGGCATAACCCATGTAAGTCCATTAAGCAATTTTTTTTGTGAATCGAATGTGAATGTGAATCTAAACAGAGATCACGACTCTTTACATTAACTGTCCTGTGCGCTAACCTGAGATTACCTAATAACCCCACAGTCGTGTGTTGACTAGGGATCGTTCACTATTCAATACGTACATATGTCATAGGTAAAGTTAGAAAAAAAATCTCAAATGATTTTGAACATCTACAAAAAAAATTAGAAAAGGAAAGAACTAAATCGCTGATGAAAATCGCTTAATAAACTGGAAGGAGTACTAAAAGTGCCGCTTTGCTTTGGCATTTCTTTTTGTGTTCATTATTTACAGCAATTTTGGGTGCCGTCATCAGCCTTGTTTAGGAATTTATTGGTGACTAGCTTGTCAATTCCTTCCTGGAAAATGTACGGGCTCTGAATTTTGACCCCCTGCCGCACTGGCGTTTTCACTTCTCAGGACAGTATAAGGGAGTGTCCAAAACGTACGGCCGAAAAAGCGCCAGGAATCAATCGACCCATTTGAAATTGAGCATTTTATGGTAAGAAGAAGAAGATTAGCACTGAAGACATCGGCGGAGACAGTTGAACATGGGCATGAAATTGATGCATTAGATGATGATTCCGTGGCCATGTGTAGAGCTTACAATGCATTTCGGCCTGCTTCTCCTTTCTGCACCCATTATCCGTTGCCCCGTGGGGAGTGGAGGGGGGATTAGTCGGTATTCAATCAAAAGCCAATGGGATTTGGATCGTCAGTACAGATATCGAGGTCGCCAACACCTTTAATACAAATACTTTGCTTGCCTTTGTCATCTCCGAAATCCTCCAATTACGACATCTCGGTGGGAGAAACGATGCGTGAATTGAGATCTGCATTAGAATAATTTATTCATCTGATTTTTTGACACCATCAAGGAATCTACTATTTTCTTTTTTCGTGTGAATGCTTAAAGGCTTTGAAGAATACTAAAAATTTTTAATTAAAACTCTCGAAGAGGAACACACAAAAGCGGGTATCTTCACAGGGGAGGTAATTACGATTGAGAGCAGGCGCTAAAATACTCATTGATTCAAGGCGATAGACTACGAATATTCTTATTTCAAGCGAACTTATTGTGGGAATGTCATAGCTTGGATGCTTAGTCTACCGGTGATACGTATTGCACCACCAACAAACACAAAACAGATAGAAGCACCATATGGAACCGGACTCGAAAAAATGGAGGAAGCGATAACTTTGGATTCCCTGAAAAGCACATGAGCGACTCGGATGGAGGTAAGGTGAAGGGACCAAGAGGCCATGCACTCTCACGCGCTCAAGTGAAAAACCCTCGACAATAGTGCATTCCATAATGGTGGAACGTTTCTGATGCCATCACTCCGATGATGACAAAGAATAAACCCCTGAAAGTTTCGCGGCAGTCAAGTGATTAATAAGAGCAAACAGCAACCAATTCTTAGCAACGAACAACTAAATCTAAATCCACAGATGTGGAATCCCCCCCAAAAAATTACCTTTCCCAAGTCGATTCACAGTCTCGGCTGGTCACTCGGCGAATTACTCACTGAAATACATGACATTATCGAAGAATATATGAGAAAAAAAGTATTTCATGAAAGGACAAATGGTCAAGTAACGCCAATAAATCCACGTATCTCGAATCCGGAAGAATTAATTTCCTGATTCCATTCACAGTCTCGGCTGGTTCTTTTTTTTTGCAACATTAAAATTTTTCCGCGTTTGGCGGCGTAGTAATATCGGGAGATTTTCTGCGGGAACAATTTGGAAATTGATTTTGATTTTCGCCTTCTTCGAAATTGGCTGAATTTGAAAAAAATATTATTTCGCCACATTCACAATAAGTCAATCAAGTTTAATCACCTTGAACCACCGAATTCGCACCGGAATGTACGGATTCCCTGAAATGTTCATAGAACTTTATCCCTCACGTCCCATCCATCGTGACTTTAACATCACTTAAAGGATCCTTAAGACGTTGACGTTAAGAGGTGGACCAACGGTTTTGCCCGATGTGGGCTTCAAACGACGGTCCATCGTGTGCAATTGATGTAACCCTAACCTGGGACTATAGACCATCCCCATATACTACCAGGACGACATCTCGCGTCATTTGTGGGGGGAATTCGTTGTTCAAATAAATTTAACTAGCGGCGTGCGGTCGCTATGCAGGCCGTCTAAAGGCGGAAATGTGAAAATTGTTACATAAAGATATGAAATATTTCGATTCAAATCAAACATTAAAATCAAAGTTTTTATGGCCTAGCCTAAGGCCTAGAATGGCATAGCCTTGTAGGCCTTGTATAGGCCTTGTAGACCACGGATGAGTGACAACAATTCACCACCGCTTTCCTCCTCTTTCAATTTTTATGGCTTAGCCCAGTGGTGCACAACCTTTTCCCCGTAGAGGGCCAAACATTTCGTCCAGAGATTTCGTCTCATATTCGAGGGGTTCAAGGGCTTGCGGCCCTCAAACAGGAGCCGAAATAGGCCGCATATAAATATGGATATTTAGAGACCAGAGGTATGAAAGGGGCCGTAAAAAATGTATCTGCGGGCTGCAAGCGGCCTGCGGTCGGCAGGTTGTGCATCACTGGCGTAGCCTATGGCCTAGAATGACAGCCTCGCGAGTTAGGAGTGACAGCCACCACAACTTTCGGCATCCTTCAATTAAAGAACTAGATAGACGTCTCGCCCAGAGACGAGACAAACGTCTGTCGCATCATCGCTGATGTGGGGCCTGCAAGGACATCCCTCTGCAATGTGGGTTCACGCTCGCCCACTCGCAGCCGAGGCATCCACGCAGCAAAGTGTGCCCAACGTTGCGTGCTGCCTGGGGAAGGACAGACATCAGATTCCGACGTGGGGCTCGCGTCCCTTTAAATTCATGAAATGCCTAATCCATTCAAGTGCATCTTCCGATGACGTCACAGCGCCACTAGGGATGAGATGGAAATTCATCCCCCTCTTTTACTTTTGCCCATGCAGCGTTCCGAGAAGATCTTAATGCTCCATTGGAATTTTGACTTGTGAGAAGGCCGAGCCTGTTGAGCATGGCGACCATGTTTCGTTTGTTTCATTTCTTTGTTTCACTTGCATGCTTCCTTTTTCTAAAAATCAAGGAAATTCCTGGAATTGTCATTTCGGCTGAAAATATTTCTCTAACCAAGTTTCCAAATTCCTTGGACGATTCTCTGCCTTTCCTTGAACCAGGAAACTTCATTCAGAAAACCCAGAGTGAGTGGTTGCACACGATGTGCGGCGATTGCGATGATCTGGATGATTGAAATTTGTAATTGTAATGACATGATTGTAATGTAGACGGCATCAAAATGAGAGATGATGAAATTAGGCAATCGCTATTTAAAAAAAAAACGGCATCAGGTCGGTAGGATGAGATTGGAGCTTAATTACTTTATTACAAGTGAAAACAATCAATTCGGGACCGAAATGAGAAATCACAGGCTACGATCAGATGCTTCCCGTGAAATAATTCCGTTCAAGATAAAATGAGTTTAGATTTTATTTAGGTTTACAATTTGTTTTGGTTTTTGATAGGCAAGGAACCTTGATCTGATTTTCAAGTTCAGGCGCATGAGAAGACAGAAACTCACAAGACACGCCACACGCTGTGAATCAATATTCGATACAGTTGCAAATGACTAATGACTTCCGCATCATCACACTCATGAGAAACAACACAATACTCAGGGAGAATTTCGGGTAGGAAGACACACAAATGCATGTTTTCGTGCAACTGTGGCACCGAGCTCCTGGGCCGACGTCATCCTGGGTACGTCTCTATATGTGTAGACTGCCAAACCAAACCAAGCACATAACAAGCGGAACGATACGAACGGGGAGATGGTGAAAGTGGCGGGAATTCGTGGAAAGGGGAGGTTGGGACTCGACGGGATGATCAAGATCTTAAAGCTGTGAAGAATCCACATTTCCTAACATGAGGACTACGAAGGAAATGTATGGAGTGTTTCCAGCTGAAGGAATTTGCTACCACCTGGTATGAAGATAAATTTAGTTCCTCGGTTCCCGTGATGCCGGTTGCAATACCAACAATTCCTCTCTTACCGAAATCGAGTTTCCACCCATTCCCTCCTTTAAACCAAGTTTAGTAGTACTGGCAGACGAACGGGAGCTCGGTGGAACAAGGGATGTCGAACCAGTGACCCCCTAAAAGACTGAGGCAATTCTTGTCTCGTCCGCCGTTTGGGGCTTGCTGCTGGCCCACTGGGAGGCTGCCGTTCCTTCCCCACCAATTATAGGATGTTGTCGGCGTGTTGTTCACCTGGAGGAAACCTGTGAGACGCGAATAGAAGAGACATCAGCCGGAATGAGGAACACTTGGCTATGTGCAACGTGCAACGAATTCTACCCCATCTTTGAAAATACTATTTTACGAGAACTCATTACACAGAAACTTTGGTGAAACAGACTTTTTCGAAAAAGAAATTGGGACGGAAAAAGGAAAATGAATGGACGCGTTGATCTAATTATTTGTCAAATATATTTTGATCACGGTCAGGTAATGAGGAGAGTGGTGTTTTTGGGAAATATTTTAGACAACATTGTTGACAAGTGACAACTTCTGTGAAAGTGCTACGTGATACCTTCATGGGTGGTTCTGTACAGCACCATTAAATGGTTCAAAGAAAGTTTCACTCAAGAACCAATAAACAATTTTAGGGAGAATCATTACTTGTTTCTACTGGATTTTCGAGATAAGTCTGATGAAGGGCAATCGGATACTATACCGGGTGCGACAGCCTACTTGGGACAAACTCATGAGCAAACTTTAAGTTTCCCCAAATTTGTATTTGCTAAATTATTGGCTTCGAGGCTTGTATTGATTGAAGTTATATTAAGTGCAGTTTATTTAACACTATCAGCACGCACATATTTTCCACACACACTGTGCAAAAGTAAAAAACTGTAGCACTATTGCACTTTTTGTCAAAAGTGGAGTAAAGTATATGCAAAGTCCGAGCTGCACTTGTTAAACTGAAATTGAAACATGCAAATGGTAGTGCAAATCAGTGACTTTCAACGCCACTATTACTCTTTGCTGCTTCAACTGTATTGCTAGTTCCAACAGCAAAGCTGTTCACAGCGCTTCACGTCTTCTCTGAAATCTGGGCCAGGTATGTCAGAAAATCTGCAGGTGGCTTGCTAGGAATTACCTTCTGCGCGCAGAGTGATATTTAGGAGCAAAATTGAACAGTTCGGTACATCCAGAGATATGGGTATTTAACCTTTAAATAGCAGGGTTATTTAGCGGAGTCCTAGGCCACTGTCTGTGACAATTTTCAAATAGTTATTGCCAGCCGAAAGTTCAAAATTTGCGGTAAAGAAAATGTCCCAAGTAGGCTGTCGCACCCGGTATACGAAGGAGTGGGTATTACGCCAGGACCCAACGATTGAAATTGCGAAATGAATCATTTCGATTCGAAACACCTTCAAAAAATAAGTAATTGATTATTCAGAAAATGCTTCAAGGTTTTGTTTAGTTTCTAATTACATGGTTCATTCATATCATAATTTTCCGAGAACTCAGGTGAACTCGTCCCTCTACGCTAAATCTCATCATTCTTTAACACGTTGACGACCAGCCTATTTTTGCTTGTCCGCCGCGTGGGACCACGCGCATTTTTTTTTGTCAAAAAATGCGTCCTGCCATCAGGACGCATGGTCCCAGAAAACAGTTTTTTCCGAGTTTTTTTAAAAGTTGAATTTTTTGGAATTTTCTTTGGAACCTGCATCCTGCCATCAGNACGCATGGTCCCAGAAAACAGTTTTTTCCGAGTTTTTTTAAAAGTTGAATTTTTTGGAATTTTCTTTGGAACCTGCATCCTGCCATCAGGACGCATTGTCCCACGTGGCAAAAAATCTGCGTCCTGGCATCAGGACGCATTGTCGCCAACGTGTTAAGAAATATGCAGATGCTCAATAGCTGCTTCCTGAGCAATGTTCTTAAAAACAAATAATAATAAAAACTTTCTTGAGGAGACCTGAGCACGAAACTAACTTGTGTCCTCGTAGATCCATGTGCCTTCCTCGTCCTCGTCGGTGGCGCCTTGCAGAATGGCTTCGGTGGTGTCAGGGGCGACGAGTCGGATGGAATTATAGGTGTTGGTATTCGTGTCGGAAGCGAGTCGTGCTCCGTCCCGGCAGCAAACCTGGCTGGCCGCGGTCCGATTCAAGGGCCCTGGGTAGCGCTTGTACGACAGGCCGTCGTACGAGGAGTAAACGTAGTCTTGCGCTGGGGGGAATCGGAATGCAAATCGATGTTTGCCTCTCTCTTATCTTCATGTTTCAATTTTGAAGAGAGCGACTCACAATTTCCTGAGCACAGAGAATTGATATTGAAATCTTGGAATTCCCAAAGGTCCAGGTCGGTACATTTGGCTCTGATGGGGACGAGGGGCGGACAGCGGGAATATCGCGGACAATCGTACGAGGCTTCGGAGAAGACGGGTGCGGGCAGGCTGCCGTCCCATCCGTACGAGAAATTCATCGTTTGATGCATGAGATAGGGCGGATTCGAGTGACACATCACGGACGCTATACAGACGTCGAAAATCGTCTCAAATCCATCTCGAAGAGCATTTGTCTAGAAAATAACATAACGAACTGCGATGAACCATCGACGAACCATCGACGTAGGCCATCGCCCCGGGCTCATCTGACAGGGCCGTGATGAAAGTGTACCCCGCCTCGCACATCAGATTTCCTGGATACCAGTTGAAGGCGTTGTAAGGAATTCCGAGCGAACGGGAATAGGCTCCGCAATCCACCAAGCTTCTCACTCTCAAGAAAAATCTCTCGTTTCCATACAGAGGCCGAAATTCCTCGTCTCGTTTCAGCAGGCGGAAAGTGGTCGAGGCGCAGGCTGCGAAAGGAATATCGTTCGTGTCCATTAGGTGGCACAAAATGGTACTAATGGGACGATATGCACGGGTGATTTAGGATCCGGCAAGATTATCCGCTATTTAATCTCCTTCTGTTCAGGGTACGGATATTGTTGCGGAGTTCGGAAATGGTAGTCCGGCAACAAAAAAAGGATTCTTTTTCCTTGGCTGTAAAAATGAACCATGAAACTCTGTAGCTCTTCAAGGCATAACTAATTAATTAATTATTAATTATTAATATTTTCAAAGGCATAAATTATTGTTTTAATACTTATCGACAAGGGTCTGGGAAACGCGTTCACGTCATGAGAATCACTCCTATGATGGAGATAATTTCAGTTTCGCATTATTTTCTCAGTCCTGTGTCAAATTGTTGGCTGTCGGGGCATCACCAACGCCAGAAGAGCGACAGGAGAAGACATATGTCGGTTCATCATCGTTTACACGTATCAAGTTAGCCCTTATGAAAATGAAAAGGAATTCTATTGGAATTTACAGGAATCCAATTGGATGTTCGAATTTCTATACGGATTCCATGTGATTTCTATAGAACCTATAGGCTTCCTATAGGAATCCTATAGAAAAATATAGGAATCTAATACTTTAATTAGAAGAACCCTAAAGTTGCGGCAGTGGTGGTTGTAGTGGTTGTCACCCCAACACGCGATGACCTACGAGACTATGTCATTTTAGGCCATAGCTTAGACCATCCACCGCTCAAAGCGCTACGTCCATGAGGCTATGCTATTCGAGGCCTTACGCTTAGCTATCCAACGCTTTTAGCTCCAGGTCCATAGGGCCATGTCAGTCTGAGCCATAGGCTGTGGCTCATACTATTATTTCCATAGACTTCCTATTCAGCTGTGCCAATCACAAGTTGCTACTAACTGAATACGTGTCGCGTTTTCACTGATCGAATTGCAAGTTCTCCATTTGAATGCATTCTTTGCTGGAGTATTTTTTATGTATGTATTGTTTTTCGTTAGGTCAGGCGTGGCGGTTCGGGCAATAGTTTCTTGTTTGCGTTTCATGTCATGGTCGATTTATTTGAGTTCCCACGATTGATGAAATCAAAATAATAACGTAAGTTCTTTGTTTCATGCATCGCGCAAACGTGCCGCTACTCCCATCTAAATGGTGGCGATTTTTGCGAGGTGAGGTTGAACGCGAAAATAAATATTGATGGAGGTCACACAGGATGGCGATGAGGCAGTCGCTGCAGATAAGAAAAACGATTGGTGCTGGTGCGGAAACAACGTTTACCACTGCAGTTGCGGTGCGAAGTGCCTAAATCGGTGTTTTAGTAGGTGCTAGCCCTAATGGCTAGAATGAGTGATGAACAGTACCCAGCTGCACGTAGGGAGCGTAAGGCCGCTCAGACCGCTTAACAGCAAGAGGCAGCGAATGCTGAGTTCAGGAATAGGACAGCCGTGGAGCCTGCTGAGCAACTTGACGCAAGGAATGCAGCACTCAGGTATCGAAAGCGGGAAAGCAGGGGCGGCAGGGAATTGAACCCGGACCTCCTGCTTGCCCGTCAGGTGTGCTATCATTACATATGGAACTTGGGACATTTTGTCATGCCTCTTCCTAGTTTCTTATTGCACCTATCGTAGGCGTAGGAACGTCCTCGAAAGTGGGGGGGTGGGGGGCAAATGAGATGGGTCAGTCCCGTTCACATTTTTTCAAAAGGGGTCTTTGGACATCCAGTGTACCAGAATTAGCACCTTCTTGACGCTCAATTAAGAGCCTATTAGTTTCGAAACATGCTGAATTTGAAGGACATTCGTCGAACGTTCAAGATGTTTTCCTGAAGCATATCAATATTATCTTCTGACATTGGCTTAAGCGAAGATTCGCACAACCGACGTTAGATGGCGCCGAAGTAGTCGCTATAGCTGGTCAATTCCTGATACAGCTGGAATTAGTCACCAATACTTTCCACAATGTAGCCGATATTCCTTCACATAAACCAGATGAGAAGATACTTGAATTCTTGAATAAATTCGTCATTAGAGGTAACCCAGTCCAAGGAGTTTCCAGAGAACTCTGGCTCGAACGATAGAGGGAGGATGGTGTTCAATTTCCAAGGTGACTGCACGAATAATAACAATGGCCTGACAACACCACCTGGTGGCTGGCCGCTGACCCAGCCAACCCCAAGACCTCCACACCACCTTACAACCCCAAGACCTGGACTTCAACAACCTCTGAAGAAGCACCATCTGTCCATAACCATTCCTGTATATTCCACTTCCTCCCATCTTGTATCCTTTTCCTGTAAAGGGCATGTAGTATAATAAATGGTCATTGAACAAAAATAATAATAACTTAAACGGCCTTCACCATCTCTCACATATAAAGGGGTATTCTCATGGAGAGTGTAGAAAAAGAGGGAACTCCCCTATGGCGCGAGGAGTTGCACCCTACAAGGCGCGGGCGCTATCTTACTGAAGTCGCGTGAGCAAGGTAAGGCATAACGGACACATGGAGAGGGGGAAAGAAAAAGACTAACTTGCCCCTTGCTATATGTCTGGGACTTCCACGCCGTGACTCAACCAATCACGTTATTCACTCCCACGTGCGGGACCGTCCCAAGATGGCCGAAGCACTTCTAACTCTCGCGGTAGCGAAGGCGTCTTCAGAGACATCTATATACACTGCATGGGTATTCCAGACGGAAATGTCTGCCTCCTGAATAAGAGATAGCTGATGATAAGATAAAAACTTCCATTATTAATTTGAATTTCCCCGCGCCTCTCTACCAGACTTTCCCTGGCAAGGAATACCCATCAATCTTACCGATCGGAAACATTTAGGCTCTTAAACCGAGCCACGTGAGCAGGGCTCTCCTTAGACTGAATTCTATTTAAGTGATGAAAAGAACCTCTCTAAAACGTTAATTGTATATAGGATAAATCCTGAAAAAGAAAGTTTTACTGAACAGGTTCCCTGGAAATACCTAATTCACGTGGTTGCAGGAATCCATAATTTGATCTGTTTTTCATTGCTTTGAATTTTGAAAATTTAAGCAGTTAATAAAACGTTTCCAAGGACATTAATGGAACGCTGGTCATAAATGAACCGTTGATTGAACACGTTCGGGTCCTAGTTGGGTGGTGGTCTCTGAAGATCATGATGATTCCTTCCACGACAACAGGGTATTTCCATTCCTCTGGTTTGCAGTAGGTTTTATCTGCCATTAGTTATAGGAAGAAATTAAACGTGGACACTTACTTTTTTGTTATCCCAATATTCGAGACGGAATCATGGAGTCTAGGCCAGAAATAAGCTCCCTATTCTCTATGAGAACCCTATACATAGGTAAGTAAAACGTTTCAAGAAATATTCAATAGATGGTGTACGCATGTTCTGCCCGCCATTCTCCTATGCTGGGTGGAGAATTATCTTTTTCGTTCTAGTGAAGCAACTGAGTTCGCGGACACGCCACCATGCCCATCCATGAGATAGATGGGCAGAGAGTTATACGTATTGCATGTAGTACTAGCACTGACGATACAATTGCCTCTATGCGGTTATGGCAAAGAGCAGCCCCAATATTGACACGGGTGGTCATCTCAATTAGTAGTAATCCCAGTTGTAGTGCTAGGGTTTCAAAACCCCCAAAACGTCAGCGAATCCTATAGGTGAAGAGTCCTATAGGAAACTATAGGTTTTTCGTCTTTCACAAACCTATAAGATAAGACGTTTCACAAACCTATAAGAAAGGACTATATGTTTCCTATGGGACTTTTTTTCGCAAAGGTAGACTCGTCCTTTGGACGATGACCGGAACTTCTGCGGGTACGATCGTAGGCGGAAAAGAAATTCTCACCTGAGTCTTTCACGGACTCGAGGACGAACGCGGCGACCACCAGGAGGAGCAACATGATGTCGACTGCACGGAAGGTTGCTTGCAGGACCGTGAAATCGCCTCTCGCCGGGGTGTACTGACGGCAATTGAATGTTTGTTCCATTAGCCTCCCAGACAATGACTAAATCCACGTGACGTCAATGAGGGATCCTCTCGTTAACGTCACGTGGGTCCCTTTTTCTCACGCTTTAATGGCAGGCCGAAATGTGCTTGGTCTTTGTCCTCCCGAAGTCACAGCCAACGATGAAACGCTGGGTCATGTGGAGCTTGGCAAGTGCACTCATTCATAACCGTTCGATGTCTTTGTTCCTTTCTTTCAGCAGCGAGAAGTGACGATCGAGTGAAAAGGGACCTGGACCACCGCCAGGTCACTTTTCACCTTTGTGCCTTTATGGTTTCATGGGGGCCCCCTGGGGGACTTTCCGGTATTCTGGCTTTGTTCCAGGCATATTCGAACGCACGACATGCCCTCTTCATTTTTCACCCACCGATGTCCAACATTAAGAATTTTCCCGTTTTTCTTTCATTCATGGAATGAAGAATCCCATAAAATTCTCAAGCCTCCAGTCTCCATATTTCAACTTCAAACACTAAGAAAGTAGAGTGAAAGAACGGGGGCCCTGGTATTCCTCATTTCATTTCCTTCATTCAGCACCCCGAATTTCTCGGTCTGCCCATGCGCTTCATTAATCGTCATTGCTGTGGACGGGGAACCGACGCCGAACGAATACGAAGGACTCGAAGATGAAGGCGTTACCATAAATCGTCGCCTCGTAGGACAATGCGGTGTGTGGGCTTTTATTAGCGGCCTCACGCAACTCACATCGCAACCCGCCGCGCACGTTTCCGAACATTAATGGCCTCATGCCACGCTGCGTCTACCTCTTAC